AGGGACACATAAAATGAAATGGAGCAATGAAAAACATTCCATGTAAACGTAGTCAATATGGTATCTCAGCTTCTCAAGCCCACATTTCCAACTTTTTTTTAAAAATAGTGATTTGTATCTTTTGTGAGTATAGGGGTGTGCACTATTATTTTATTTTTTATTTTTTTAGTAAATACCCATGTTCTTATGTCAGAGAAAAACTGCTTTGCGAAGTAACGATGCACAATGATTCTCAAGCAGATTTAGATCGCGATGCTTGGCTGGAGAAGCAGGCAGCTAGGGTGATGGGGTTATAGCACTTCATTCTGTATAGGCACAGCCTCTGATAACATCCCCATCATTAAACTGTGGAAATAATGAACTGAAATTCCCTCCACTCCCAGACCTTATCTTCTGATTCAGTTGTCTATGGAAGAATTAAAAGAACATTCAACTTGCTTTTCCTCCTGCGTGGATGGGAGGGTGGAGTGGAGAATTGCAGAGGCATGCCTAAATTTAAAGGAAACTAAGTTTCCTAAACACTTCATTGAGGCTTTGCAGCTCAGGCTGACTTTCTAGGATACAAACAAACTTTGATGGCATGCTTGATGCATTCCATGCCTGAGTGTCTTTTTTATGTAGTCTAAGGTTTCCCACCCCAACACATACACTTACCTAGAATTAAGATGTCAGCTGTCTTCCATACAACCTCAAGGTAGAAATGCTTGCATCCACCTCCAAAGGACCACAGAAAGTCCTTGAACTCAGCAGTTCAACTCATTCCTTATGCCTTACACATGGCCTGATGACTTTAATGTTTAAGTCTTATTTATTTATTCATTCAGCAATTATTACTGCATGTTTACTAAGTGCCGGGAACTGGGTAAATTAGCCAATCAAATTTTGTAGCACTAGGTAAAATGGAAGGACTGAGTGGTAGCAGGCTAGGTGACAGTGAGGGAAGTGATTGCTGATGGTTTTATACTGCAGGGGGACTGAAAAACAAAATCTACTCCAAGTTACATTACAATAATGTATGCTCATGAAAATGTTCACACCTCATCAAGAGGGACTTACATTACGCTATGCCTATTTAATCCAAGAAGGGTTTCTATTCTAAAATTGTTGAATAAAAAAAGTGGAAGGAAGAGCAGGTTCTTAGAGGCATCATCTCTCATTAACTAGAAACTTTGCTTATGTGAATTAATTCAATTTAAAAATGCTAAGTGCTAAAACAAGACATTACCAAATTCTGCCTACAAAAGCAGCATGCAAACCTTTTTAAAAAATAATCCATAAAATAGGAAAAATAATGTCTATCTTATAAGACTGTCCTATGGCTAAAATTGTATAAAGTATATAAATGAGTGTGAAAATTGTGACATGTTAAATACAGGTGAATGGATGTTTTTCTTATAAATTACGGTGGGTCTAAATCAGAGGAGAGCCAAGGTACACTGAACTGGGAGCTGTAGCCTGGATTTCCTTGGCTCTACAACTTGTTAATTGTGTAATGACAATGAGTAATTCAGTTATTCCAATCCTCAATTTGATTTTTAAAAAGATACGGGTAAGTAAACCTGTAAGGTCCCTTTCAGCCATAAAATCATATGATTAAAGATGAAGATATATTCTCACTTTCATAGTATAGTGCAATAACCATGGTCAAAAGGCAAACTTTTTCCTCAGTGATAATGAAAATGCACAGGGTAAAAGAAATTAGTAATGTTCAAGAGATGTCACTGTCTTGCTTCACCTTTATTTATTCACTGAAAAAACGTACTTTATTCTAACCTATTGAAAAAGGTTTTTGAAAACAAGCAACATCTTTTAATTTTTTTTTAATTTAAAAAGGAGAGAAAAAAGTCTAGAAACTACAGATTGATGATATAAAGCTGAACTCCAGAAAATGACTAGAATAGAAAGGGTATGGGTTTATAAATATACATCATCCCCAAGATAATTTTATACACATATTTTCTTTGATTTGTTACTTAATGGGCGATTAATAAAGGAATTCCAAGGAATATATATATACTGTTGTAGTTTCTGGAAATATAAGGATGGACAAGATTGTCTCATCTCTCTTACAACTTAGAGTCTGTAACAGGAGTTAAATAACTGAGGCCAACCGAGGTGGGAAAGGGGGAGGGGAGTAGCAAGAAATTGGTAAAGGGCCACAAAAAATGATTCCATTGTGTAATGTTAAGTAAACTAATTATCCTGGCTTGACCATCACATATTGCACACAGGTCTGGATATTCAATGCTGTACCCCACAGATATGTACAATCAATCATGTTTCAATGAAAAAATAAAAATAAAAAATGAGAAAAAAACAAATATACAAAATCATTCCAGGTTGTATTAAATCCTGATAAACAACATAGAGGATATTGTTATATAGAAGTAGAGGCCTAGAGGAAGACAGGAAGAGGAGAGAAGACATGATAGGAATTGCTTGCTATGTTAGGGTGATATGGAAACTTTCTCTTAGGAGGTCACACCTAAATGGAGAACACAGGGTCATAAGAAGTCATCCATGGGAAAGATAAGGAGAAAAGCATATCCGGCAGTGGAAACAAAAGTATCAAGGTCCTGGTGCAAAAAATAGTTTGTCATTTTTGAGAAATTAGAATGAGATCACAGTAATGAATTTGAGATTAATTCTAAATGCAGTAGAAGGCATAAAGCAGGAAAGTGGAATGATCTAATTTACATTTTTAAAAGATTACTGTGGCTGTTTTATGATAAATGGCTAAAGAAGGGCTCCAGGAGATGCACAGAGACTAAATAGGAGTGGATGTTGCAGAGACCATACATCTTGATTTTAGCAAAGCATTTAGCAAAGATTCTCACTACTTTAAAAACAAGTAGGAAGAATCAGGGTTCAATTATAGAATATTTTGCTAAATTCATAGCGGCTTGAACAAGCATGTGCAAACAATGTCGATTTAACGTTTTAATCCTATTTTAGTGGAAATTCTCTACTGCACATTGCCATATCCTGGTCAACATGTTGTACCAATTATTTGAATGCAGACACGCTTATCAAATTTTCTGCTGACACTAAACTAGGAGGACAATCAATATGTCAGATAAAAAAAGATTTAAAACAATTTCAAATGCAATAGAACAAAGGGTCACTACTCAGAAGGTGAATTTAATAGGGGTACATACAATATTTTGAATTTAGGTTAATAAAATAACATGGTTGGGTAGCTCCTGATTAATAGAAATTCATGAAAAATCAATTCTCGGATTTTACATGACTATATGTTCAAAATTAGGTTACAATACTAGACTAGTGCTTTAAAAAAACTAGTATTATTATTGTCAGCTGCATTAACTGAAAAAGAAGTTCACATGATGGAATACTACTGTTCCCAGTTTCCTCTGCAAATGTCAAGACACATGTATGGCATTGTGTACATTTCTATAAGGCCACAATATAATAGATGAATTAACATAACTCTGTCACTGGAATTTTTCAGACTGAATGATTATCAGCCAAGGATTTTGAGGGTGGTAGGAATGCCTACATCACACATGAAGTGGAAGGAACAAGGTGGATTCCAAATACTGGTCCTCAGACCAATCTAACCCAAAATGAGTGGTAGAGCTTTTCCTTGAGTTAAACTATTCTATTTAAATTATTATCCTTGAAAATGAGATTCTGTCTTTCTGAAGTTTTCGTAGTAGTGAAAATCTCCATTTTTTGTTGTTACTGTTGTTAAAAATTTCTTATACCGTGACATCCAAAAATAAAAGAATTATGAGATTTACAGAGTACTGAGATTTTTCCCTACCTTAACAGTTCATAATTCTATGATTATTTCCCAAAATGAATTCAGCAAGATTCGTTTCATTAAAATGAAAAAATAAGTATAGATATCAGACTTGCATTAAACCAAGAGAAATAAACACTTTGGTTCTGTAGCACTCAATCAGACATATTATCCTAGTATTATTCTGCACCTAATAATATTTAGAAGACTCTCAGGAGACATTCACAAACAAAATAATCCTATAATCCCGTATATACATAATACTTAGAAAATTCATTTCTCAACTAATAAAAATGTCACCAAATGGCAATAATAGATTAAGCATTGGATATTAGGTATATTTGACGTTGAGTTCCCGGAGAGGATTTTGTTAATGAGAATATTCTACAGTGTTTCTGCCAACAGATTTTGTAATTATGAAACCTTTGACATTAATGCACTGCTATATGAGTTGGGATTTCAAACAAGGAAACATATAATCATATGCAAATACATAAACCCTTAAAAATGTAGCTGAACATCAATCCTCAAAGGCGTCTATACGCACATGTGTACTCACTGCTCTTTCATGGGGATTTTATTTTCAATTTGTTATTTCTAAATTCCACTTTCTTTCATATATGCATAGACGTTTATTAAATGGTAGTCTTGAGAGATGGTAATTTGTTTTTTAAATGTCCTAAACTGGAAATATAAAAGGTGGGTAACACTGTCTCTCCTTTTTGTTATTATTGTAGTTTAAAAAAATTTTTTTTCTACTCTATTAAATAAGAAAAAAAATTAGAGAATTATAGGACTAATTGGCCACTTAGGTTTTTTCCAAATCTGAACCTTATGGTTAAAATATTTTTCTTATCGACTACTAAGTTACTGGCAGTTCAATTACTTAAAATTCTATTTAAAATATGTGTGTGTGTGTAATTTATTGGGTACATAAATTTACACATGTGTAAATTTCAGTGTGTGACTGTACGTGTGTATAAAGCATTATGTAACCAAATTATCATATAACCAAATTATCTCAGTCCTTTTGAAAGCAGAAGCATGTATCTTCCCACTCAGATTTACAGTTTATCCTACAAACAAGATATTTCCCAAATATGAAAAAAGGGTAAAGATGATCATATAACAAATTAAAATCGGTTTGGTTTTTAAAAAGAAACTTTTAAACTTACTGGTACAAGAATACAAAAACTCAAAGTAACATTTGTGGCATGATATAATTGCTACTTACAAGCAAACTGAAGCTTTGCTTCTCTGCCAACAATTGTTCCAAACGAGTTTGTTGCTATGCACTGGTACGTTCCAGCATCTTGGGTTTTATTGGGGTTATTGATCAACAAGCTGCCTTCAACAACACTGTAGCGGAAATCCATACCAATGTCAACATCTGTTCCATTTAACTTCCACCTATAGTATAAAAATGCCAGTAGACAAAGCCTTGTAATATTAATCAATACTTCTGAATTGTCTAAAAAATATAAACTGTAAATAGCTTGAAATGGCACTGGTGACTTTTTTAAAAGCATGATAAAATAATTAGAAATGGTCTACAGAGCGATGGTGACATCTTAAGTGCTTATGGAAAGAGCATGTCCTTTAAAGTAAACAATGATATTAAAATTTTAACACCCGTTTTTGTGAATACTTATGATGCTGCAAACACTTCACTTTTAGAGGGAGGGGAAGGAAGACAGATTTCCTACAGAACCTTGTGTAACTTCTTCAAATAGTGCTCCTCAGTAAAAGTCCTTTTTCTAGTTTGCAGCCATTCTTTAAATGTGTCTATACAGATGACAGAATATACCACTTTCAGGTAGGTTGCTGAGCATTTGGTGAAATTGCAGCAGAATTGCTTTGATTTGGTCCTTAATATGACTGAAATGGCTGACTGCAAAGCAGAGGAACACTGTTGATCTAGAGCTGTCTTAGGCACCAAACTTTCCTTAGCTATGGATCATTCTGAAGATCTCCTTAGCCACTGGCACTCAAACATCAATCAACCATCCCAGTAAACTGCAGATCAGGCCATAGGTAACTGAGGCAAAGAGAGTTCTGTTGTCCTTCTGCACTCATTGTGCATCCTCTTATAACATTCTGGGGTACTATGGTTGTGTGTGCATAATGTAAAAGGATTTCAATGGAGAAAATGCAGGCCAGTTAGTTTCAAGATGCTAGATCTGCTTTCAACAAAAGCAAATGTATAGAAGTAGTCCTTTCATTCTGTCAAGAACCCTCTCACACTTCAAAGGCAACCTCAAATGACACCTCTTCTAATAAAGTTTTCCTTAATATTCCTAGTCAAAATTAATCAAAGATTCATCCAGTCTCCTGCTGAACTCTCCCCTACTCAATGTAGGAATTCTGCATTTACTGCAGATAATTTGTCCAGAGCACGTTTGTATTCTCACTTGTGCCATCTAGAACTTAACATTCATTGTGTTCAAAAAATGCTTGTTGAATTTAATTGACTAAATATTTTACTTCTTTGCTGGATATTTCAGCTTTGAGCATACACAGATTATGAAGCATTCTAGCACACCACAGAACAGCAGCATATGCTTATTCATATTATGTCTTTGAAATGTAAAAATTTAGAAACACGAGGAGTGGGAAAGTTGCACCAGAAGCACAAAATAGGACATAGCTCTTTATGTGTTAGTTTTTTAAGTAGGTGGGCATTAGAAACTGGCAATGTTTTTAGGTTTGACAGTAATTTACTCTGTGCTCTGACACAGTCAAGAAAGTAATGAGCAATAGAGAGAACAGCTGGGTTGTATTCTAGCAGCCCTCTATGCACATGAATCTCTAGAACTGACTGCCTGCCCTAGACATTATTTTTCTTTTAGTCAGCTGATCACATCTTGGCCATAACTCTCACTTCAAATGATGGTAGGGCAATTTAATATGACAAATCTAAGAACCCAAAGAGGAAATTGCAATATAATGTGAGCTGCAAGGAGAGTGTGGAATTTAGGAATGAGACTATGTGAGTCTTTTTAGAAAAGTGATTGTGGGGATGATGAGAATATCTCTGTGTGCCTGTCCACACTAGTCATCTCAACCGAAAGGCAGTGCAGAAAGTCCGTTAATTTACTTTATTGCCTGCTTTTACATACAAATAGCAAAGGAAAAGGGATAATTTAGAAAATAAAATGCTTTCTGTGAAATGTAGTTGACTCTCTATTACAAAGCAGTATACCAAGTTTTATTGCAATACAATCCCTGTTCATTCCAATTGAATGTAGACTGCATTGAATTCCTTATCTTATTGTATACTAAAATTCTCCTGAAAAATTCACAGCTTTCTTTCAGTGTTTGAGAAATCTTTTAAATATTGTTAATATAGAGGCAATGCTCATTTGGAGCAAAGAGAAATTTTCCCAAGGGTGAAGACAGATTGGTGACTCTCAAAAGCTGATTTCCAAATCACTTCCACAACCAAACACTCAAACTGTGAAGCTTGGGAAGGTACAATTTTGGGCACTTTAATGAGCAGCTATCTGTGGGATTTGCTGTAGCAAAAGCCTCTTTGTTAGCGGTTTCAACTTGGCACTAAGGGAGGGGGGCAGAGCCTTTCTGACTTGGAATTTTTCTGCAAACTCAGTTGAATACAAACCTCACAACATAAGTACTCCAACCAAGTACTTGAACTTTTCTTCTGTCTGGAAAGGGATGCTGAGTGCAATAAGCAATGTCATATGTCCTTAGGGAACTTTAATACAAGAGAAGTTGGCACAAGTCAAAACTTCTTAAATTTTTCTGGGTCTGGGTCAATCCTTTCAAAATTGAGGGGCAGGAAACAATGAAAAGAGAAGGTTCAGTTGAAGGAAAAAACACAAAGAAGAAAGGTCAGTTGGGGTGTCTGAGGAGGAAACCTAATGTTGAAGATCCCCATGGAGAGTTCACTTTGGAATTTCTCCTACTTGTTCTTGCCCCTCAAAGTCAGCCTGAAGACTGAAAAAGTTCAGCCACAAAGGTATTTGAAAATACCTGATTTCTCCATTCTTTCTCTTGCTCTTTCCTTCAACAAGAGGGAGTTTTTAGCTTTCAGATAACAATTTGCTATTATGAACAGGATTCTGTTCTACTGCTTGTTTTAAATAATAAGGCAAGCCCCTATATGGAGAAACACAATGTTACAAAAGCAATGTTAATTAAAGGTCACAGTTTGGGAGAAAACAAAGCAGCAACTTGCTATGTTCTGCTGCAAAATTTGTTTTCATTTATGGCTAACATCTGAACTTACACTTGGCTATGTACTGAAAACTGGGACCAGTTAACTTATCGTTTATGTATCTAGGAACCTTTGCCTCTTGTATTTATTTTCACTATATAAAGCATTTAAAAATCTTTATTTAGCCTTGGGTTTATTAATATGTTATAGGGAGAATAACTGTGCATTCTGGTTTTTTAATGACAGTGCTGGGTTTACACCTGCTGTCCTAGAATAATAACAGTGGCCCTTCACTCTCAAAAGTGTCCTGCTTTGGATGATAAATTATATGTTCATCCTAATTATAGGGTTCATTAGAGAGCTGTTTTGTTTTTGTTTTTGTTTTTTCTTTCTGGAATATACTTTTTTTTTATCCATGTGGCAAAAGACCTTTCATCCTTCAGATACAAGTTAATATATCTCCTTTTCTGGGAAACTTTCACTGACATCTACCCTCCCCATCCCAAATTAAACTTTCCTCCAAGATGCCCTAGAACTTGAACATCCTTTTACTTGCATTTACATTGTAGCACTCCAACTATGACGACATCTAGGCAGTCCTCAATCACACTAGTAGAATATGTAGTTTATTAGGCTTTGAATACTTCAAACCTACCAATGTGTTAGGTACCTCATACATTGCAGCTGCTTAGTATAGTGGTTTAAACAGTTTTCCTAGATGACATATTTTTCAGAGTATTAGAACTGTATATATCCCGGTTCAAGGCAAAGCGGCTACAGTTGAATTTCAGATTGAAACTCTGCTATTCTCCAACCCAGGTAATCCTTGAGCCAACTCCATGTACCATGGAATTCACAGTTTGAAAAACACTTGTTTAGTTTTATGAATGAATGATGATATGTTTGATGAATGAATAAGTGTGGATGAATGGGCAAATAAAGTAAATTCTTATCCACTGTACTAATACCACCATCCTTTAACTGTATGGAATGTCTTTCACCCTCTGCCTATTTGAAAACTACCTATCTCAGTTCAAATCTCATTTCTTCTGTGAATCTTTCCTGATGGCTCCAATCTCTCCTAAATTATGACACATTATGTATTTCTTTGGTTTTTACATAATATTATATATTGGTTATCAGCCTAAAGTTTTTAATCATTGAATTTGAATAGAGGCAAAATAATATTGATAAGATATATATAAGTTACAAAAAACATGAGGCAATGAAGATCTACATCTAAGAAAAGGAACATTATTATTACTTTCAAAGTCTCCTGTGTCCACTTTGATTACAACCACTCCCCTCTCAATAGTTAATTACAATCTCTAATTTTAGCTTTTTCATTCCCATGATTTTTCTTTATGATTTTATCATGTATGACAGTATCCTTTGAAGGAGTTCAGAACATGTCACCCCAAAATATGCTGCTCTTACATATTAACTATTTTGAGTTAAACGCACTTGAAAAACAGCAGGTGCAAGAAAATCATCCTGACCTTCATTCTGTTTCTAAAAAAGCAGATGATATTCCCAGTGAAAAATGCCATCCCTATACTAGAAGGAAAGTAACATTATCATCAAGGACAGGAAATTGACATAGAAAATTCTGTACAGACCTGGTTAAAATACTTTTTTTAATCCTCACCAATAATTTAGTTACTTTTCCACAATTTACTTGTCTTTGTTCAATTCAGTATATAAATGTTCAACAATAACTGCATCTGTGGGTCTTCATTTCCTTATGAAGGCTCCCTTGCTACATTAAACTTGTGATAAATAAATTTGTATGCTTTTTCGCCTTTTGATCTGTCTTACGTCAATTCGATTCTCAGGCACCCCTGAAAAAACCCAAAAGGGTAGGAGTAAAGTTTTGTCACCACTTTACCTTACCTGCTCTGAACTTTATAAATACGAAATTATTCACAACATTCTGCTGTGACTTGCTTTCTTTACTCACAATTATGCTCTTATGATTCATCTATGTTGTTGCCGCTGCAACTCATTCTTTTCCACTATTGCATGGAGTTACCTTGTATGAACATACCAGGTTATGTTTATTTCCTAATGTACTATGAATGTACTTATACACACTGGATTATAGGGTATGTGTATCTGCAGCTTTACTAGAGAGAATTTGTTTTTCACAGTGGCTTTTACCTATTTACATTCCTACCAGGAATGTTCAAGGGTTCTGTTTGGTCCACATCTTTGCCAATCAAATGTAAGTATTCTAAATTTCTGTCATCCAGGTAGGTTTGAAAGAGTATGTCATTTTAGTTTTAATTGTATATTTCTGTTTACTAATGAGAATAATCTTTTCATCTTTACTGAATATTTGGTTTTCATTTTCTTAGAACTACCTGCTCATGTGTTTTGCAAATGTTTCCATTGGATCACTTGTTTTTTACATTTTGATTTGTGGGGATTATTTAAATATTCTGGAAATAAATTTTTTATCAATAACAAACATATTAAAATATCTTTTCTCAGTTTGAAGCTTGTAATTTTTATCTCAATATATTCTATGAAATATTAAAGTTGTCAATATTAAAGAAGTTTAATTTTTTTATGATTTGTACTTATTCTGTCATATTTAAGAAATATTTTCATTCCCCGAAAGTCATGAGTATGTATACCTATTTTCTTTTAAGAGTGTTATAAATTTCCCATTTATGTTTTTTATCCACCTGGAACTGATTTTCATATATGCTGTGAGATAAGGGTCCAATTTATAAAAATTTCTTTTTAACCATATGGATAATTCATTGTCCAGCACATCTCTTTTCAATTTATTTCTATTGTCATAAATTTCAACTTTTCTTTTTATCTTCACAAAACAGTGTTCTTTTAATTCTTTTTATTGTTTAGTTAAATCAATCTTTATGTGGAATAATGAACATTTATCTCTTGCTTTACCAATCATTTGTTCTTATGTGTCAGATATTCTATCTGAGATCATTTTTATTCTGCCTCAGGTATGTCTTTAAGAAGTTTTGGCAAGTTCTTAGCCTTCTCTTTAAATGTTGCCTCTGCCTCACTCTTTCTTGCTTTTCCTTCTGGAACTCTGATTAGACCTTTCTCCTTTTCTCTCTCCCTCTCTCAAGTGTTTTGCTTCCCTTCGTCTCTTTCTGCTGCCTTAGGCTGATTTCTTCAGACCTATCTTGTATTTTAATAATTCTGTTTTCAGCTGCATCTCATCTTCTATTAAAACCATTCATACCCAAGGTTTGAAACACGCAATTACCTGTGCTTTACAGTCCCTTGGGAAGGCAAGCTTATTTCTTGTTCATGTTTACTCTAAGGATATAGCCCTTGGATCCCAGGTTTATTCTGGGAGATGTTCTCATATTAAACTCTCCTGTTGGTTGAATCTAGGCTTTGTCTTGTGACTCCAGTCCCTGTGAGACTGCAAAAATCAAAGCTCATTTCATGTAGCTCATCAAGGTAAAAAGTATACTTAGCGTTCAGCTTACTTCTCTGGGCTCCAAACCCACTTCCTTTTAGACTACTGAGTATTTTTTTTCTTTCTGCCAGTTTACTGACGTATTTTTAAATGGCGCTTTTTAATCAAAAAATATGTTATTAGGAATTATTAAGGTATTCAACGAGAGGGTAAATCAGGATTCCTAGTACAGCCAGAAACTGAACGTGGGAATTTAACTTTTCATGAAACAATCATCTCCTTAGACATCTCAGGATATCCTATAATACTTATCTAAAAGCTCTTTATGTAATCAGTACTTTATAAGTATTTGCTGATTTTAATAAAAGAAACAATATACATGGAAACATATGCTTTTAAATCAACAGACCTTATATGAGGTTTTGGATTCCCTTTAACTTCACAATTGAGCTTCACTTTTTTCTCCTCAGAATCCAGAGGAAACATGACATCACTTGGTTCTTGAATAAAAATTGGGCCATGCAGTGTGTAGTCATCTGAAATGAGAAGAGAAAATGTCCAAGATGAATAACATCTTCCAAGTAGGAACAACAACTGGAAACAACACAATAAAAATAAAAGAAAGAAACTAACAAAAAATAATAATACACAGCAGATTCAGTTTCAATTTCTGGATGAAATTTCCCATTAAAGATTAATCTTCTGTGGATTAGTGAAGATATGGGCTCTACTATTTCATACTGATCACCTGTTTTACTAACAACTTCTAGACACAGACTGCTTGACATCTTCCTTTCTCTAAATTTCTTACTGTTTCATCTGTATTTAGTCTCCCTCTTTTACTCTGTTCACATTTTGTGCTTCCTACATCACTTTCATGCTGCTGTCATTTTGGAAGCCTGTCTAATGTCACAAAGTTAACATTTTTCTGCTTTGCAATGAGATAATTGGAAACAAACAATGATGTTTCTGTAAATACATTAATAACGAGAAACAGATCTATATGGCTAATATATATAAAACTTTCTTAAAATGGCTATGTAGGCAAATAAAAAACAACCTACCTCCCTGATTCTCATATTATTTGTTTCTTTGTTTTCCCAACCCACTATGGACCCATACATGGTCTACCTTGCATAAGCATCACATAGCTGGTACTAGAAACCTGCAACATCCAAACTGGTGTGAAACAGTTCAGGGATTTAAGTCTATTGGCTATGTGCTTAGATGGTGCAGCAATGTCAAAAAGACATTTCTAAATTTTCTCTCAATGAAAGAAACTAGATGCATGAAACATTTTGTCACGGAACAGTAACAAAGTTCAAAGACTAGAATAATCTACAAATCATACTTTCAGTAGCAGTTTAGAGTACATATGCTTCTATAGTATACACATAATGAATATTGTTCAAAATGCATCTCACCACCTATGCCCATGAAAATGATTTTCATTCTTCAAAATCAAGTTCAAATTCTTTTTTTTTTCTAGAAGGCTTTTCTAGACCTTACCTTCTTTCTTTAACCATATAACTTTTAAATTATATATTCCCATGAACACTTATCTTTTTCTATCAAGTGCATTTGTGCCTCTCTTTTTCCTTCTTTGGATTGTAAACTCCTTGAGAGCATGAGTGTATCTTACCTGTTTTTGTATCTGCTGAGGTACCAAGTACAGCAGTGAATATATAGTATAGCAATACATACACAGAAGGTAATCGGCAAAGATGGGTTCTATTTGAAAGTATTTTTTTCACTTTTTAATGTATTCAATTAGCATACTAAGGCATTGCCTGATGAGTTTTGAGATAAAAGCACTAGTGGCTATGATGTAAAGTGATATTGACTATCACTGTCCATTTCCCATTAGACATGATTATTATTATTATTATTATTTTCCTTTTTGTCTTTTAACGTGTCCGGCAATGGATCGCAACCCTCAGTGTTGCGCCCGTACCGGACCGGGACCGGCAACGGGATCGCAACCCTTGGTGTTGCCCCCACACCTCGCTCAGCCAGTGAGCGGGAACCGGTCTGTATGTGGGATCCGAACCCTCGGCGGGAGCGCCACCGCACTCCCAAGCGGCGCACTGTAGCAGTGCGCCACTGGGCCAGCCCCAGACATGATTATTTTGAAGGGTGTGAATTGCAACTGCTATCCTAGAAAACCTTCCTGTTGATAGGTAATAGGATACGACGGAATTCATTCAGGTGACTCAAGACTGAGGAAAAACAATAAAATTGGTTTGGTGATCTAGGTGGAGCCTGATGTTAAAATTAAAAAACAGAGAGATGAATCTCTAAGAAAAGGTTTTATTTATTGCAATCTGGGGCATCCACACAGACCAGGATGGTCTCTGGAATGTCTGAAGAACAAATAAAAGGTTGAAAGTTTTATGAGAAAGAGAAGTTCTGTGTATTGTTTTGAAAGATAGCTCATTGGCACTAGTGAAGTTTTTGGGGACTGGCAGGCTTTGGTGAGTGACAGCAGTATATACTTTTGGTCTAAGAGTCATGGCAGGCCATTTCAGCAGCTATTAGGTAAAAACTAATCAGGGGTACAGCAGGTTGTTTCAACAGCTGGGTTTGTAGAAAATTTTTCTTGGAGCAGGTGCTGTGTGCCCCAAGTGTTTTTTCCTCCTGGCCCCTCAGATCCAATTTTAGTTTGGGTATGACCAGAATGACCTAATTTGTATAACCAATTTTCATACTGGTAATTTCTTTTAAGGCTTTTAACACAGACTTAAAAAAACCAACCAACCAACCAACCAAAAACCCTTTCATGTTAACTTTAGGATAGAAGAAAAATTAAAGAGATAAGATGACCAAACAGAATTCTATTTTATTACAGAGGAGTGGGAACAGCCCATGACCTTGTTGTGAAAACAAGCAAAATGAAGACTTAGACCATGAACTGAGATTCAATGCCTTAGGTCAACTACTAACTACAGGACCCCTGGAAAATCACCCAGTCTCTTTATGCTTCATTTTTTTCATCTGTAAATTAATGATTTGGACTATGCCAGTGATTCTACACCTGTTAAAAATGGGAAAGCAGCCATGAATAGTTTCCCATAAACACACATGTACATGCACATGAAATCTACATTCAAACATGTCACTAATTATATCACTACCACCATCATTTCTCTTTACTGCATGTATAAAATCCCACATCAGTGAGACTTAAAGAAAATAAGATTTATCAACGAACACAGAACAAAAGTACAAAAGGTACAAAAGCATATGCTTCTTTTTTTTTAATACTCATGGTTCGAAAGCCAGATATTTCAAAATCCAGATGTTTACATTTTAGATTTTCAACAATTACATAGATATTTTTCAAAACAAATTTAGATACTGGTCAAGGGTTAGCTTATTTCAACTGTGAAGAATTAAGTTAATTTTTGGCATATCTAGTTAAATGAAAATTGTTATCCATCAAGATAACTAACATAGCAGCAAGTTTGGTGAATTTTCTCTAAGACAGAAATATTTCCATTGTTGTCCTGAATTTCAAAATTATGTGTGTGTATATATAATATCAATCATCTCAATTCATTGGTGTTCCCTGATTTGAATTTCATACAGAAATATATAGTCTATTACTAGTAATTCCAGATAAGAATAAAACATAATAATGATTACTCAGGATGCAGCTGAAAGGCTGTGGATTAACATCTGTACTATTTCTCAATGTAGCCATGCCATATTTAAATAACAAAAAGGATACTTTTTCTGTATATTTTGTAACAAGAATTGATAATAATGATGCTTTGCATTTGCTATAAATAACACTTTCTATCTAAAGTTTTTATTTTCTCTTGGTTAACCAAGCTCACTGCTTGGAAATTAACATTAGCATAAAGGGAACGGAATTTCAGTTCTCATCTAAGGAAATCCAAAGCCTTTCATGCATGAGCTATTTGGTTCCACAAAGATGGAGAAAGAGATTTAGAAAGTTTAGCTATCCAGGTGTAGAAAATAGATATCCTAGCTTTTGAAATTTTAGATCAGGGTTACCAATATTTTTGAGAAAAAAAAAGAGTTGCTTTATTTCACCAAAAACTTGTGGTGCCTGGATGAGACAAAGATTCTTGAAAGAGGTGTTCTTAAATGAAACACGGAAGGAGGCATTGCTATATTTGTACTATCTCTGTGTAGTAGCCACAAAGTGACTTTCAAGTATCCTGAAGGTGCACACAAAAAACCTGTGCATTTGCCATTTTCAAAGACTAGAAGATAAAGTTCATCCTTCTCTTTATCACGGCTGGTCTATGTAACCAGAAGGGTGGCTATGATTTTTAGCCTAAAAAGGTAAAGGAGCATCTCAACAAATGACAAAGGACAAGGATTTAATAATCCAATATGTCTCAAAGTTAGACTGTGGGTCACCTGCATTGTAATCATGTCATGCTTGTTTTATTAAACCCCAGTCCAGACTGACTGCACCAGAAGATTATGGGGTCAATGAATCTGCCTTTTAACATGGCTGTCTGGGTAGTTCTTTTGCACACTGAAATTTGAGAACTACTAACCCAGACCCTTCTGTACCTAGCTCTCCATTTCTTAAGAAAAGAACATCAACCAACACAGACTTTAGACCCACTCCTAGACATTTTTTGTTGAGCTAACCAACAATTCTTTGCTTGATAACATTTAGAGAAGTAATTTTAACACATGGCTGGACTATTAGATGAGAGGGAAGCATTCAGGAAGAGAAAACTATCAAACTGACTCATATGAAGTAAAGGGATGGCTCTGGCAAGGTCTGGGACTCTACGAGGGTACTTAGAAAACTTTATAGAAAAATGGAATTAAAAGATTATACAAATTTTTCCTGAACTTTTTGAAGACCCCCTAATAGTTGTATAAATTAATCCTTTCTTAGAACGCTCATAGTTGAACTCCAGGAGCTAATTGTGAGACACCCCCCCACACGGGGCTGCTCCAAATGATAAAGAACAGGCATCTTCAGGGAGACACCAACAGTCCATTGACCTGTAGTTATGACTTTTCCTCACTTGATACACACACATTCCTGCTGTAACCACTACCGTTTATTTATAAGTAATGAATCTCTTGTTATATTAGTGACAGGATGTTGGGTTTGAGGATTTTACTTTTGGGTTTTTAAAAGTGTGAGAAGTCACCCCCATGCCTCACCTTCCTTGAAGAAGTTAGGGCTCACATTGTTACTAGAGATCTCTCGGAGGAGGGGGAGGCAATGATTTTCCAGTCTTCTGAGAATTCCTAAAAGTCATGGCGAAGAGGAAGAACAAGGGAGTTTGGGGGATTTAGCGCAGATGCCGATACTGGTACATCATGATTTCCTGAGTTCTTTCCTCCTGGGCAACTACCTGCCAATCCATTACTGGGCTGACTTTTACTACACTACTGGTGTTCTCTAAAGTCCCATACCACAGAAATTCTCCTGGACTAGCTTCTGAGTAAACCACCTCTTTGTAAAGAGAAGGGAGAAGAACCCTCCTTTCATGCTTCAGCAAAGAGTGGGAAACCTCTGGGTTTTCAGAAAAAA